GAACTATGGAGAGTAAGCATTGACTACCTTGACTTCTCCTAGTGAGTAGTTCTGGTATAAAATTTAAGATTACTACCAGTAACCAGCTTAAAGCCAACTATAGGGGTCCCTAATTTTGGATTTTTCCTTAAGTGTAAGAAATAATGCTTCAAATGTTAAGAAATAACAGTCTGGGCAAAGAACACATATTCTATAGGAAGCCAGGTTTATAACAGGTAAGAATAAACTGTATTAAGTAGATGTTATGACTAGAAAGCTGCTTTGCTCCCTATTTTGAGAAACTGTGGACATGGTGTGTCTTATCCAAAGAACACTGGACTAGAAGATAGATTTCTATCCCTAGCGTTGGCATTATTGACTGGATTAACTTGAACAAGTCACTTAACTTCTCCAAGTTTGTTTATTAGATTATGCTAGGAAATGATTCTTGAACATGTTTTAACCTTAGAACTTTGTTCAAATAAATCTTTCAATGAATCTCTAACATATAAAACATCAAAAGCTGAATTCCTCTGTGAATTATAGGCAGGATTTGGAGATCCAATGCACCTACAATCCTTCATCTCTTTGATTATATACATGGGGGCCCACAGGGACTCTGGGGAGTTTGAAAATCCCTGGACTAGATGAAACCTGAGGCCCATTCCAGCTCTTTAAAAAATCCACAATTTACAAACCGTATTTCTTGTTATTGTTATTAATCAGTATCTATCGTTAACTTTACAAATATTAAAGAAATAGGGGCCATGTTCTACAACAGACATTGTTTTCCTGGCACACAGTAGACAATTCAGGAAATGTCTGAAGAAGGAATGGGTAAAATTAAGATACCAAAATGGAAGTGACGGGAGAGCAGGTAATTGTAGAGAAAAAGACTCTTTGTGGCAAGAAACAAAGAAAGAAAAGTATAAACCAGACTAAGCGGGGATAAAAGCAAGAAGAAGAAGAAATGCAAGAAGACCAATAAAGGAAAGACAAGGACTGAGGCAGGTGGTTAAGGGAACTGCCAAAAAAAGGTGAAAGTCAATCCAAACAGAGAAAAATGGAACTTCCAACCAAAAAAATGAAGGTGTGGAACCCTGTCATCAATTGCTCAGAAAAGAGAGACACTTGAGCAGGGAGAGAAGAAAGGAATGAGAGCCATAAAAAATAATGTTCCTAGCTACCATTTACAGTTGTCTCTGCAGGGAAGACTGGATAAACTAGAGGGGAAAATGAGTGCAGGAAAAAACTGCCTCTGCAGAGCAGGTAAGAGGAGGTTGTTCAGATTTATGGATTTTATTAAGCCAGTTTTCTGTATCACTCTGCTATAAAGGAAAATAGCTTCTGCAGGGCTGTCTCTCCTCCTTCAGGTGAGGAACAAAGAGTGGGTGGAGTTAGGGACAGAGTCTGGTCTGCTATAAAGGAAAATAGCTTCTGCAGGGCTGTCTCTCCTCCTTCAGGTGAGGAACAAAGAGTGGGTGGAGTTAGGGACAGAGTCTGGTCTGCGAGATTATGATGTGTCTGCAGCTCAGAAGTACTGCAGGTGTTTCTGGGTAATGTGCCACATCATGTTTATATCACAAATGGGAATTGAAAATCAGTCTGTGTAAGGCAGAGATGAGCCCACATCTGTTATCCTCCCCAACAATAAATAAATAAATAGCCCAAATGGATGCCAGTCCATCTAAAGTAACATTTTAAAGCATGTGCGTTATGACAAAACTGGACCCAGGGTCTGACCGAGGCTACAGGCTGCTGTGAGCACTGTAGCTATCCTGAATGTTGATGCTACATATTGCTAATGGGATCATAATTTATAGTACAAACCCTACAGCTTCCACTAAGGTTGAGTTTTCCTCTCATTTTCTTGCCTTTTTATTGGCTTAACTGCATGGTTGCCAATAGCAACATCCACTGGTAGCAAAGGGAGTTCAACACCATTGCAATCTGCCGTAACAGTGGAGCCCTGACAATGTCAACCATCAATCAAGTAGCTGTTTGTAATTGCCTCCATCTATTTCTTCTGTCTTAAGGTATCTTTCCTACTGTGGGTCAAGATTCAGAAACTGCTGACTAATGCCATGGGTCTGTTCCTCCATGACCATGAAGCAGTGGAAAGGAAGGTAGCAGCTTCCTGGTGCCAGCAACCCCAGAGGTTAAGAGGTTGAAGTTTTGCAGGTTTCAGGCATTTTTAATCCTTTTCTAAATAATTTATAATTTTCCAAGAATGTGAGGCATATGCAGTTAGCCATATATTCTGCTTTTCCAAAAAAGAGAAAGTTTCCTAGTCCTTATTATTAATGTTTATCTCCTATTGGAGAAAGACATTTGAAATATGAGCCTTATTGTAAAAACTCAAACTGACTAGATTATATTTGCTTCCTTGGGTCTCTTGGCATTAATGGTTGAAAAAACATCATCCCACTTTTTCTATGAGATGTGTTTTTTTCAGGCATGATATTTATTCTTACTAGTCAGGGTGTAGCTAATATGTGCACAATCAACAATGTAGCAGCAATCCTGGTGGGTAGGGACAGCTTCACATACTGCAAAGAGTGCCATTCAGTGCATAACAGACTGGAACTCCATCCTAGCTTGGTCACCAGCTGAACCTGTAATCCAAGTCTTAGATTCTCCATCTATTAAATAAAAGCACTGACTTTTATTCCATTCCCACACCAAAGGACCAAGATGTGTTTAGCTTTAAAGAAATTTTCCAGATAATTTTCTTGTTTATTCTTCTCAAATAAAATAGGAACAAACCTAAAACAGTCATCCTCTTAATAAAGACACTATAAGAAGTTACATATATGGAATCGATGTAAAGACAATCACACTACAGATGTCTCTTGAGCCTGCCTCTAATTATGATGGAAGATATAGTCATCAATACAGTTTTTTAAAAAATATATCCTTTTTTGAGACAGGGTCTTGCTCTGTCCCCTAGGCTGGCACAATCACTGCCACTGAAGCCTTTACCTCTCCAACTTAAGTGATCCTTCCTGCCTCAACCACATGAGTAGCTGGGACCTCAGGTGTGCACCACCACACCCAGCTAAATTTTGTATTATTTGTAAAGAGGAGGCCTCACTATGCTGACCATGCTGATCTCGAACTCCTGGGCTCAAGCAATCCTCCTGCCTAGGCTTCCCAAAGTGTTAGGGTTAGAGATGTGAGCCACCACACCCAGCCTATATGTCCTTCGTTTCACGAAAAAAAAAATTTAGATTTTCTGATAAATCCCATTAATTTAGAAGTGAATTTATAAAGTAAGCCAAGAGAAGTTAAAAATTGCACATGCATTTTGTTTCTAAAATCTGACATATCTATGAATTTCATATTTTATATTTGCAAATACATTGGGTTAGAAATCGTCTTTAACATTTTGTGTTAGTGTAATAACAATATTACCTAATATTAATGCTACCAGAATCCAGTTGCTTTTTCTGTGTATCTAAATTTATCATACTTTATCCACTTACACAAGGTGATTAAACAGAATCTGCCCAATTTATTCCACAGTAAAATTATTTTAAAATCTGTTTTTCCTGCTGACTCTTAGAAATTGCAGAAAGACAAAAACCAGTTACATCTCTAGTAACAGTGTGAAACAATTTCCTTCCAGTGGGATACAAATCTAAACATATTAGGGAAAGATTTAAGTATAAAGAAAAATGCTTTGGCTGGAAAAAAAAAAAAACAAAACACAAAAACACAAAAAGGATTCATTAAAGCAACAGAACAAAACCTAATTTGGGACCCTAAAAACTCTGGCAATGCCACGGTAATGAAGTTTTCATTATCTGCCTCAGAGTAACAGTCTCTGAAATTGTTCTGCGACATGCTGTAACTAACTCCCAAAACTCAAATGTATTAGGAAATGTAAAGGTTAAGTCTGACTACAAGAAGGCCAAAATTGCACCAGCTTCCTAAGTGAAGAATAGAGGAATAAAACATATAGAAGGCAGAAATAAAATGAGGTGTATCTGGAGAATTTCATGATGAGCATTTAGATTTAGCAGTGCCCAATGTCATGCTTACACTGTTTGTCATGACCTTGTCTTCAGCTATTAATTTGGGGTTGTACATCTTTTTAAATTTAATTTTGAATGTTCTTGCATGTTTGGTACGTCTCTCAGCACTGTTAAAGATTGTTTATATAACATAACTACACCAATATCATGTAATGTATACACTAGTACAAAAATATGTTTTTTTATTAAGTAAATGAAGAATTTGCTGTGAAAAATATATTATTTGTGGCCACCACTTATATCTGTGTTCATTTTCTGTGTGTATCTGCATGTGTATTTGAATCCCAGTTTTTCTTTTGCTCTAGTTTAGATTTAAATTAAGTCATATTTAGATGAAATTTAAAAAATAGCATTGGAAATAGGAGGCTAAGTTTTGCTGAGTTTCATTCCCTTGGGGGGAAACTGCTTTTTCCATTTTATTTTCATGTACAATAATCTAAAAAGGATCTCCTACTGACTTCCTTCCTAATTATTGTTTTACACGAAAGAAAGGAAACATGTTTTCAATTGAGTTGTTTGAAATCATTCATTTTGTGTAGATTTCCCAGATTGATGTTTCATTGTAAGAATATTACATTATAGACCACTTGGCCATTTCACAAGCAACTAATCCATAGTTTTGGAAGTCTGCTTTAAGAGACCTAAATATCTTTGTTTTTAATAAAATACTTAGAGTTTAACTAAAGCTCTGAAATAACCTTTATTTCTTTTGAGAAGGGTGATTTTAGGGCTGAAAGAAGG